ATCATTTTAATTTTAAATATATAATATTATATATACACAGTACATATATATATATATATATGGAGAGTGATGATGGAAACAAATTAAGAAAATTAATAAATATAGTACTATTGCAATAATAATATTGCATTATAAAATATTTTATTTGAATAAAAAAGGATGTTATTTAGTTTAATTTAAGTAAATGTAAATGTGTACAAAGTCAGGGTGACTGACCGAGCATGCTGTGGATGGCGCGGGAGCTCTGGCTGGGGCTCGGCAGGAAGCCAGACGACAGGCCGCTGGTGGAGGACGGGGAGCGGGACGGGGCGGCACTGCTGCTGGGGGTGCTGAGGGGACTGCTGGAGCTCGAGGCCTCCTGACAAAACCAGACAAGGCCATCATAAGAAGATCATTTCTGTAAAGAAAACTTTTCTCCTCGTGTTCCTCCCACAAACCTCTTTGCTCTTGCCATGGGGAAGATCCTTTGGTTTTGTCTCCTGAGCTGATGGAGTGGCTGGTTTTGGCCTCTTGCTCGGGTGAAGACTGACTCGCTCCACCTGTAGCAGTGCAAGTGTTAGAGAGTTAAATAAATCTGAAATGACTTTGCCTTTTTCTTTCGTATTTCTCATCCTCTCCCCTCCAACCATCTGTCATACCGACCAATTTTTTGTAAGCAATCCAGTAATTTCCCCATGAATAACACAGAAGTGAAATGAGTTGCTTTAACCAGACCTTTGACTGGTCAGTACCTGTTTGTTCTCTCCTTTCCACCAGTCCTCTGCTGTCATGGCCAGGGTGTGACCCACGGTGTCCGGATACAAGTCGGCATGGAAGTCCTGTCCTGCCTGATACACACAAAACACACAAGGGCTAAAATATCAAACATCTTCAGATTGGCTGATTTTGGGGGGAAAAAGGAGGAATTCCCCCCCCACACTCATTCAATATGACTATACAATAATACTAATAATATTTGTAATTGTAAATAATTTAGTAAATAATTGTACTGTAAAATAAAAACACTTAATAATAATAATAAATCTTATCATTAGTTTTGTGTTATTACTATTTAAATAATTAAATTAAACAAATTAATAAAGATGTATATTACTACTGCAATGATACTATTGTAATACAAATAAAAATGTATAATAATAATAGTCACCATTATAATGACTTCATTTTATTGCTATTTAAATTCTAAAAAATAAACATATTAATGAAGCAAAATAGTACTGTACTGTAAAATAAAATAAAAACATTTATTAGGAAAATTTAAATATTGCTTTTTATAGTTTATTGCATTTAATAATAATAATTCATTTATTAATTATAATAACTGTTCTGTTTTTTTAGTTTTATTGGATTACTATTTAAATGATAAAAATTAAGCAAATTAAACAAATATATTTCTATTGCATTAACACTACTGTACTAAAAATAAAAAACAAGTATTGAATAATAATTATAATAATACATTTTTTATTTGACAAAACAATAGGAAAATTAAAATATTGCATTTTATAGTTGTATCAATTTCTTGTATTTACTACTACTACTAATACATTTTATAATACATTTATTAATTATAATAATTGTTCTGTTTAATTTGTTTTATTTTTAAAGTTTTTTTGTTTTATTGGACTACTATTTAAATGATAGAAATTAAGCAAATTAAAGAAATATATTTCTATTGCATTAACACTAGTGTACTAAAAAAAACAAAAAAACAAGTATTGAATTATAATTATAATAATACATTTTTTATTTTACAGAACAACAGTAAAACTAAAATGTGGCTTTTTGTAGTTGACTCAATGTCTTTGCTTTCAAACATTAAACCATACAAATTTCATTTCAGCAGAAAACCACTAGGAGACTTTAAAGATTCCGTTTTGCTGATATTTGTATAAATGGTTCTCATTACAAATGTGGATTTATGCAATTCATGTGCGTCATACTTCAGGTCGGAAAGTAAGGAAATCACATGCCTGTTACATATGTTGTCAGCTTATCAATCATAATTGGTTTAGGATATACCAAGTGCATTATTCAGTCAGTTTAGCAGACCAGGATGGATCATTCTCACCTTGCGAGGCACCTGGTAGCTGATGGGCACTATGAAGTTATCAGTGAGCTGCAGCAGGCGCAAAACCTCACAGCAGCTGACGTCCAGAGCGAGCTTCGGCACTAGAGCCACGCCACGGGTCGACAGGTCCGTCAGACAGTGACTCACTGACCACGACACAGAGAGATCAGCTTCATGAATATGAAGAAAGAGCAAGAGCCTCAAGAAAAAGCATCTGTGTTACCTTGAGACAGGAAGGGCTCACTGCTGTTCACCTCAAAACAGTCGATCACACTCTCACCCTGAGAGAACACCATTAATAATGATATTAACATTGATGATAAATGATTTCAGTCATTAAACATGTCAAAGTGTGTTTATAAATAGTTACATACATTTCCAGACACAATTAGTAATCCAGAGTCTGGATCAAACAGAGGCATCAGAGTCCTGCGGATCAAATCAGACACAGATACTGATTACTGATGCTACCACTACCATTTAGTTTTTTCAAGAAATTCATACTTTTATTCAGCAAGGACTCAAAGACAGTAAGCACATTAATGTTACAAAAGATTTCCATTTCAAATAATGGCTGTTCTTTTCAACTTTCTATTCATTAAAGATGAACAGTGGAAATCACGGTTTCCTCAAGCACATGAAGCGGCACAACTGTTTTTCAACATTGATAATAATCAGAAATGTTTATGAGCAGCAAATCAGCATATTAGAGTGATTTCTGAAGGATCATGTGACACTGAAGAGTGGAGTAATGATGCTGAAAATTCAGCTGCGCATCACAGGAATAAATTACATTTTACACTACATTCACATAGAACATAGTTATTTTAAATTATAATAATATTTCACAATATTACTGTTTTTACTGTATTTTCCATCAAATAAATGCAGCCTTGGTGAGCATAAAAGACTTAAACAGTTAAAAAAATATCTTACAGACCCCAGACATTTGAACAATAATATAATTTTAATATATAGAAATATTCAACTGGCAGACGTATTAGTTGCCCATAAATGAACAATTCAGCAGTTTGAGGTGTTATAAAAAGTGTCTTGCGCTCAACATTGCAGCCACCATGAGGGGGGCGACACAGCCCATAATATAACTGCTTTTTTCTAGGCCACTGATTTGAATTTTCATCCCATGTTTCATTTTAAAGTTTACAATTTTTTAGATGTAAAAAAATGAAAGAAAAGACGACATTAAAAATACATTTCTACTTTGAAGAAAATGTAATATCTACAGTAGTCTTCTGAAGAAAGGCTACAGATTATTGTGTTCTGGTTCTGCTGAAAAATGGCTCTGGTTAGTTTTTAGTGTGTTGCTATGCAGTTGTTAGGCTCTTAGTAAAATTAGTAAATTAACTATCTGTTTGCAGTGGAAATGCTATGAGTTGCGACCACTAGGTGGCAGAATGGGCAGTGAAATGAGCTCACTTCAGCACAGAACCCCACATCAGCTCTTCACCAATCAGACACAAAGTATTAGCAAGCATCAGACGGGTGTCGTTTACATCTGTCCGTTTGACCCCAGACTGGAATCTGAGTGTAGCATCTGGCACTCTTTCACACATACAAAGCCACATTCATCCTTCAGCTCGCTGACGCCCGAGGTACGAGTCGGCTGAAGTCGGGCAGTTCCCCCGATGGGTGCCGCCGGGGTCACAATATCAACATGAGCATCTATTTTGAGTCACATGCTCCTGGGAGCGGGGCGTGTTTCCCACTTCACTCGAACCCTACAGTCGAACCAAACCAGACCAAACCTTTCAACCACATCAATCAGCTCAGAGCGTGGGACATAACTGATCAAAAAGTGAAAAAGTGAAAGTGGCGTGTGGCCATGTCATATATATATATATATATACTATTTTTACTTATTAATACAACAAATTAATATTTATGTAAATATTTATTTAATAAAATATTTAAAATAAACTTTAAAATATATTTATTTGAATAAATATAAAATGATTTCTAACAGCACTTTAAGAAGTATATACCATTCGGAGGTTAGTTCGGGGTCACTTTTTACTTTTTGAGACTTTTATTTAGGAGGGACCTCCTAAATTTTTAAAAATTAATTTTTAAAAATGTACTGAGATTTGAGAGCAATTGGATTTTTTATTTGACTATTATTTTAAATTTAATAAAATAAACTCTTACAGCCCTTTATATTCATTATATATAATACTATATAAATATAACTATATATGTATGACATTTATTATTTTTATTTATTATTCAATTCAATAAACATTTTTAATTGAAATAATTATACAAATTATTTAATTTAATATCTTAATTATTATTTAATAAATACGCTTTTTTATTTAATTTAAAGGAAACTTAAGAAACTATTAATAAATTGAGACCTTTTTTTTCAAATTAGCAAATTAGAATGATTTCTGAAGGATTACATTACTGAAAATTCTAAAAATATAAAATACTATACAAGTATAAATATATATATCAATCTTTCGGAATAAAACCTTCGAATAGTCTAACAGGAAAACAGAAGCTGAATCTGTCCTGAATGACTGAGAAGCCAATGAAAAACCTGACATTTTGGTCTGTTCCTCACACAAACTATGGCTTAAGACTCACCTCACAAATCATACGGACAACTTGTATGATGCTTTTGTCTTCATTTTTGGAGTTTGACAGCCCTGGTGCCCCGTATGAAAGCACTCTTAATCTTTACAAGTCATGTGACAGATTTTTAGTTTTGGGGTGACCTTTAGAAGAACTACACAAACGTCCCAAGCCAACACAACTGTGACCTTCAGCACAATCCAGGGAGACTAAACCTTCAGTAAACATAATGGATAAGAAAACACCTATAGGACTCATATTCACTCACTAACGAACTACTAATCACTCATCTCTCCCACAGAGAGTCATGCAGAAGTGAGCTAGCGGTGGAAACCTGGACATGTCGGGCCACGCTCATCTCTATCAGCTGAATGACATGCTTGGATCCGAGCCCTGCAGTGGATCGGCAGGCTTTGCTTGGCTGCAGTGATTGGTTGGACGACGTGTTTGACGGTTGACTTCTCCCCTCCCCCGTCTTCGCCCCGGGCCTCTGAAGTCAGTAAGGGGTTGCCACGCTTTGTTAGCATAACTTCGCGCTCCCATGTCGAAGATTCTCTGCAGGAAACACACAAACACCTCCTGTGTTCCCACACCGTTCCCACATCATCACACTTCAACAATGCATTCATCTACTCTGCATCTGCACATTTCTGATGAAGGAGACCCAGAAAGAATAGAAAAACTAACATATTTCTCAATTTATCAACAGCGATAAAGGTAGAGCAAACGGAGACTTCTCAGGTTTTGCTCCTCTGTCTTGGCAAATCTGAGCACAGTCTGCAAACAAAAGTCAGAGATCTTAACATGCATGCAAACATTCCTCTTCAAGTTTTATTTTATATATATCGTTTTTAATTCTTTAATATCTCAACCTGTTCTTCTACAGCAATGAGATTGAATGGAGAGCAAATGAAGAAGTCAGAGATTCCAGAAAGAACTCAAACGTCTCATCAAGTGTATTATATTTATCATTAAGATTAAACTGAAAGCAAATTGAGAACTTTGCTGAAGTCTCCTGCTTCTCAGACGTTTCTCCAGCAAATAAGACTCAAGTACAGTTTCAGAAAAGATCTCAGCAATGTCTCGAACTGCTCAGATTTGCCAAGATACTAAAGTTTTCAAAAGTCAAAGATTTCAGTATAAACTCAAGCAATTAATCAAATTCATTATATTTCTCCGTTGTTTCTCAGACGGCATTAAGATTAAACTGAGAACTTTGCTGAAGCCTCCTGTTTCTCAGAAGTTACCGAGGAAAACAAGACAAGAGCTCAACAACACTCTTAAAAATAAAGGTGCTTCACGATGCCATAGAAGAACCTTTTTGTCTAAATGGTTCCATAAAGAACCTTTAACATCTGAAGAACCTTTCTGTTTCACAAAAGGTTCTTTGTGGCGAAAGAAGGTTCTTCAGATTATAAAAAGGTAAGAAAGAGATGGTTCTTTAAAGAACCTTTGACTGAATGGTTCTTTGTGGAACCAAAAATGGTTCTTCTATGGCATTGCTTGAAGAACCTTTTGAAGCACCTTTATTTTTAAGAGTGAACATCTCAAACTGTGCTCAGATTTGCCAAGATACCAAAGATTCAATCAAAAGTTAGAGATCTCAATATGAACTCAACTTCTTAAACCTTCTTTAATTCCTTAATTTCACAACGTTTTCTCCTACATAGCAACAGATAACAAACAGAGAAGTCACTTGCTTTCAACATCTACAAAACAAAAGATTTTAATATGAACGCATCTCATCAGATTCATTATATTTCTCACTTGTTTCTCCTAGACAGCATTAAGATTAAACTGAGAGCAAACTGAGAACTTTGCTGAAGTCTCCTGCTTCTCAGACGTTTCTAATGAAAACAAGACAAGAGCTCAACAGCGTCTCGAACTGTGCTCTGATTTACTAGATACTAGGGCTGTTAAAATAGCTGAAAAACTAAATTCGAATTTTGTACTTAAATATGATCAATATTCGAATATCGATTTATTATCAATTATCGAATTTAAAAGGCATAATTTCAGTTAGGGGGGGAAAAAAGCTTTGGGCTTCTCTCCTGAGGCCACAAGAGGGCGCATCGAGCAAAATATTACTAATGCACATTTATTCAAAGCGTAATAAAATAACACGACTATCTTTGAAAAAAGTGCATAATGTTTGAAATAATGTCTATAAACCTTATATAATTAAAGTTGCTTAAACAATTAGAAACAAAACCGAATCATGCATGTATGTATAGTTTAATAGAAAGGACCGAAAACCAATCACAAAGAGTATTTTCTTCATTTGAAAACATGAGATGCAGCAGGATGGGAAAAAAACGCCATAAAGTCTTGAGACATGTTTTTAAAAAGTTGAACTTAAATTCATTTTACATGGCTTTCTAAACATGCGTCTCTCTTGTGCGAGATGCGAGTGCAACGCTGATAGACCTCCCTCTAGAAAATTTGATAAATATGCGTTCCGTGTGAATGGTTTGGTTTCGGTTTTGACGTAAACAACATCATCTCCGCATTGATGTTCTTTTTTCCCCACAATATTTTAATGAACAATGTAGCAGCGCCGCATTTAGTGGGTTCAACTGGATAGACTAAGAAAAACATTAAAATGCAATGACACTTACATATTACACTTACATATTACACTTACCACTGATAAGGCTGCCTGATGCACACCTAAAATTCGAATGTAAAGTTTTTGCATTCGAATGTGGATTTTTATTTTAAATTCAACGAATATTCGAAATTCGAAAAAAAATTTGACAGCCCTACTAGATACCAACATTTTCAAAACTCAGGGATCTCAAAATAAACTCAAACATCTCATCACCTTCATAAAC